AGACATGATGCGGATGATGAGGGAGGGTGAGAGGCAAGGAGGGGCAGGAGGATATAACATAAGAAATGAGGAGGAGAGGAAGGGCGGGTGGGAGGAACGAGGGAAGGAGTGAAGGAGAAGTTGTCGAAGGGGATGGTAATGATGATGCGGAGGAGGGGGAGGAGGAGAAGGAGCAGGAGGAGGAGGGGGATAAGGAGGAGGGAGAGGTGGAGGAGGAGGAGGAGGAGGAGGAGGAGGAGGAGGAGGAGGAGGAGGAGGAGGAGGAGGAGGAGGAGGGGGAGAAGGAGGAGGGAGAAGTGGAGGAGGAGGAGGAGGAGGAGGAGGAGGAGGAGGAGGAGGAGGAGGAGGAGGAGGAGGAGAGGCGGAGGAGGGGGAGGAAGAGGAGGAGGATGCGGAGGAGGAGGAGGAGGAGGAGGAAGAGGAGGAGGAGGGGGAGGAAGAGGGGGAGGGGAGGAAGAGGACGAGGAAGAGGGGATAATGAGGAGCATGAGGACGAGGAGGAGGAGGAGAAAGAACAGGAGGAATATGAGGAGAAGGAGGATAATGAGGAGGAGGAGGAACATGAGGAGGAAGAGGAGGAGGAGGAGGAGGAGGAGGAGGAGGAGGAGGAGGTGGAGGAACATGAGGAGGAGGAGGCGGAGGAGGAGGAGGAGGAGGAGGAGGCAGAGGGGGAGGAGAAGGAACAGGAGGAAGATGAGGAGGAGCAGGAGGATGAGGAGGATGAGGATGAGGAGGACAGGCAAGAGAGGCAGAAGAGGCAGGAGCTGCGAAGGGCCGTCCTTTCCATTTCCTTCCCCCTCATCCTGCCTCAGCCGTTTTGGCCCGCAGGCCCGCCGACACCTGCGTCATCTTAAAGCACAGCCGCTCAGCTGTGATGGTCGCCAAGGCCCTCGCGACCATGGGCCAGGGCGCCACGAGCCGCTTCCCGGCGGCGCTGCAGCGCTGCCTGGGCAGCGCGCCGGGCCCTGGCGCCGCCGCGGAGCCCCGCAGCGCTGGCGCCGGCGTTGCCGGCGCTGGCGGCGCTGGTGGCACGGAGCTCAGAGGAGGAAGAGGCACCGATACCGCCATCGTTGCCTCGTGTTTGCCTCCTTGGGTCTCCTGGGAGGCCCTCGTCGCCACCGCTGGATTCGGTTCGGAGTTCTGGTCAGAGCGCACCCTGGGAGAGGCCTGGGGAGCAGGGGCATCGGTATCTTTTGTTCACCTCAGGAGCCTTGCGGTGCCGCCGTCCCGTGGCACATGGCGCCTTGCCTGACCTACGCGCCGTTGTTCGGCGCCCCCCAGTGCGCCGCCGCCCGCCGATTCTCGTCGCTGGCGTCGGTGCTGGCCCCTCCAGAGGGCCCTTCTGGCATGGTGGCGGCGGCGCTGGGGCGTGGGGGCGACGGCGGCGCAGTGTCCCAGAGGATCGGGAAGGCGACGCTGGACAGCCTGGCGTGCCTCGCTGCAGTGCGTGAGCCGCGGGTGGGCGTGCCACCGCTCTGGCCGCGCCCGGCGCCTCTGCTTGCCGCCTCCGTGCCGGAGCTAGAGGGCGAGTTGGTCCGGCTGCGCGCCGCTGTGGCCGCCGCGGAGGCGGCGAGCGAGCGTGTGAGGGCGCTAAATGTGCGCCTGGGCAGTGAGGTCCAGGATGCCCGCCGCGCACTGGCCACATCAAGTGCACGCATCACTTCGCTGGAGGCCGAGCATGACGAGCAGCGCGCGGCGCGGAAGTTGAGCCAGCAAGCGCTGCGGAAGTTGCGGGCAGAACACCGACGGGTGCTGAACGAGCTGCGTGCGGAGCGCGCGCGCGTTGGCAGCGGGGACGAGGCCCCGAGCTCGGGTGTCTCGACATGCGCGCCCCTGGAGCCAGCGCCGCCGCCTTCGGAGCAGGCGCTCGAGGCGGAGCACGCGAAGCCTGAGGAAGCTCGGTCCTCGCTGGCATCGCTGCTTGGGCCTGAGGATGCCCCCGATCCCCCGTGGCCAGTGCCGCCGGCCACGCCGCCGCACACGCGCCTGGCGCGCAGCGGGCCACTGCGCAGCCCGGCGCTGGCGACGCCGCCGCCGGCTGCGGCCGCGCGTGACGGCTCCAGCGACGGTGCCCCGGCCTGCGGACCCAGCGCCGGCGTTTGCGGCTGCGGCGGCGGCCGCGCGTGGGGCTGCCAGAGGTGCGCGGTGTACTCGCCGAGCCTGCTGCTGGCGCACCTCCAGATACGCCTGCGGGCGAGGGGCGGCGCGCCGGGCCTCCACCTCGCGGCCGCGTAGCTTCCGCGGCCGCGCCGCGTCGTGTCGCGGCCGAGCGAGGCTCGGCGGCGGCGGCCGCGCTGTAGCAGCGCCCTGCGGCGCCTGAGGGGGCGGAATGGAGCATGGGGAGGCCAAGCGTGCCGTACAGTCGAGACGTTGACATGAGAAACGTTTTGGGTTCGGAAGGGGCTTGCTTAGGTCCTTCCATGGTTGTTCCTCTAGCCCTCCTCGTGCACGCAAGCGCCGTGGGGGTCAGAAAGAGGCTTCGTTCCTTATGTATCCTTCCTTATGTCAGCGGCCTGACTAGAGCAGACCTGCCCTTGAGAAGGGTCCTCAGGACCCACCTCGGGGCACCCAGGTGAGCGACGGAAGAACATGCGGTTGGCTACGCGGACATTCGCGCGCAAGCTGCCCGCGTAAGGTCGCGAGTACGCGCCCTCGGTTCCAATGTAGCATGCTGCGCTGGCGGCCCGCATAAGCCACCGCGTAAGGTCACTACGCCATCTCGCGTAAGACTCGTTTCTTTTCGTCGCTCAGGTGGCCATGGCCCTGCGACGCCTCACTGGGGGTACGCTGTCCTGGAGGGACGTTTGTGCCCTCCTGGGGAGGGCGGGGGTAGTACATCCCTGGCCTGGCGAGTTCAATAGTCGTGAGTCAGTGAACCAGTATGGGTTCAATCTTGAAGTTCAGACTCCAGAGTGCGACCAACGATCGACAATGCGAGCGGCATGGCATGGCGATGTGTAGCAAAGCATTGCGCTGCACAGTTGGCTGCCATCACGGCCCTCAGACAAGACAATTGTATTTGAGATTCGGACCCTTCCCTGGCTTCTCCTGTCTTGCTCTTCCGTGCCCCCTTTCCCGGTTTGTTCCTGCACCTTGAGTCGGGCAGTTGGGCCGGGCCTGGGCTGGCGGGCGTTGCGTCTGGCGGTCGTGCCGCGTCGCGGACGGATGGACACCTTGCCGGGGAGTCGGGCCGTGTCACGGCCGCGCAAGCCGTAAGGTTTGCGATTGGGCTCGGGGCTTGGACAGGCGGGCGGGACATCCAGTCGGGCGGTCGGGGCTGCTCGGAGCAGGTGGGTCTCGAGTCGGGCGGCGGGGTCAGGGCAAGGGATGGCATCGCAGCTCGTTGCGTGGCAGCGCACTGCGCAGCGCAGTATAGCGTACATATAACGCAGCAGCGACTGGTGTGGTACAGCGGCGCCCACGTAGCAGAATATGGCGTTGCGCTGTTGGGTGTAATCACGGGGGCCTAGACAAACGTACTACAGACAGTCGAGCATCTGATTCAGAAACGTTCGCCCAAAAAGCTTGGACAGCGTTGCCTGACCAATTTGCCGGAAAGCTGGCCCAGTTTTTGGAGCACGCTCGCCCATTCAGCACGACAGAAGCTGGCCCAGGCTTGTCTCCAGAAACTTCCGGGACGCTGGCCCAGATCTCTGACACGAGAACGGGGCCGTACAGTCGAGGTTGACTATAGTAGGTCGACCCCGCTCCGTCAAGGGTGCCCTCGTGCCCTCTGCCTCGCGACCCACGCCTCCTGCACTCCCGTGGCAGAGCCTGGCCCTCGGAGGGGCCTCGTGCCCTCTCGCGTGCCCTCTCCGGGCGCCCCCAGCCGTGCCCTCTGCCCTCTCCCGGCCTCGATCGCCCGCCCCCGCCCGTCCCCCCCCCCTCGCCGGGCGTGCCCGCCGGGCCCCCCCTCTCTAGGCTCGGGGGCCGTCGGGGCGGGTCGGCACGGGCGGGTCCCGAGCCTCTGGCGGCCTTCCCCCGTCCCCCCCCCTATTGGGAAGAGCAGCACGAGGGCTCTGCCCTCGCGCGTTTCCGGCCATCGCGCTCGAGCCCCGCTCGTTTTTGTGAACGTCCCACTCGGTCCTCCCTCCCTCTTCCCCAGTGCTGCCCCAGCCCGCTCTCTCTCCAGGGCGGGCGGCTGGGTCGGCGTCGGGGCAGAGGGCGGAGGGAGGGAGGGGGAGGGGGAGGGGGAGGAGGAATAGGAGGAGGAGGAGGAGGAGGAGGAGGAGGAGGAGGAGGAGGAGGAGGAGGAGGAGGAGGAGGAGTTAATGTACCCTGAGGAGGAGGAGGAGGAGGAGGAGGAGGAGGAGGAGGAGGAGGAGGAGGAGGAGGAGGAGGAGGAGGAGGAGGAGGAGGAGGGGGTAGGACCGCGGCTGCGTCGGCGTCGGGGCAGAGGGCGGAAGGAGGGAGGAGGAGGAGGAGGTTGGGTAGGACCAGAGCAGCCCCCTCCTGTCTCGGCCTTTCCTCCGCCCCCCTTCGCTTCCCCGCTGCAGGCCGAGGAGGGGTCGCAGGAGGAGGGATGGCCAGAGAGACAGACGGGAGGACTGCAGGTCAGGAGAACGGGATGAGGAGATGGCAGCGGGTGAAGGAGGAGGAAGAAGAGGAGGAGGAGGAGGGGGCGTCGGAAATCGAGAACGGGCCCGAACTGTCCCAGAGTTAGCTGGGAATGTCAAGATTGGGGAGTCCGATTCAGCATTGAAGTTTAACTTCTGTCATTGTAACAACATGTCAATGCCTACTTTCGCATGTCCAATGTGGAAACAAACCAGTTCTGGACTACGTAGCTCTGCTGTAGGAGTTTCCATGTGGAGGTACTGGACTTCAATGTTGGACGAAGGAGCTGGGCTCTTTCAGCTCCAGGGCATTAAAGTCAATATCGAACACTGGGTGGCGAATTGTCTGACCAGGGGTGTGACGAAGGAGCTGGGCTCTTTCAGCTCCAGGGCATTAAAGTCAATATCGAACACTGGGTGGCGAATTGTCTGACCAGGGGTGTGGGGAGGGACGGGAAGGGTAAGTAGATTTTCGCTGGCACGCGTGACTGAACAGTGCGAACGTGTGCGAGCCGCCTGGGGCATTCGCTCGGAGGGCGCACGGAGCTGACAGCGAGTGACGTCGCCGCTCCGCCATGGCATCAATCGCCACCCTCCTCCGCACGAGGTTTTCTGCTGGCGACTTAGGGGCCACGAACTTTTCTGTGTTGGCAGGGCCGAAGAGTGCTCACCTGCAAACGAATTCGGTACAGACAAATGTCAGGGCAGAGTGCAGCGCAGCACCAGCACGCCGGAGAGTGGCTGAGCTCGGAGGGGAGCTGAGAAGGGGAGGTCCGACGTGGCGACATCGAGCAACATCACTAAAAATCGGGCCCCATCTTTTTCTGCTGCATTTTTCGGAGACCCCGAGCCGGATCCAGATGTGATGGTTTGGGGGCCCGAGCTTGGGCGAAAACGCCCGGCGTGAGAGATTGCAACGCCCGGATCTCAGGGGAGGGCGAGCAGGGGCGTCCTCTTGCAGCGAGGGCTGGGGAGGCACGACGACGGCAGCGACGACGACGAGATCGAGGACTGTACCCACTGCGGGCTTCCAAAGGTGAGCAGCAAGAAATCTCGTGGACGACGACGACCACGACGACCACGGCCGAGTCCACGACCACGACCACGACCACGACGACGACCACGACCACGACCACCGCCACGACGACGATGACGACGACGACTGCGACGACGACGATCACGACCACGAGCACGTTCACGACCACGACCACGACCGCGACGACGACGACGACCACGACGACGACAGACCACGACCACGACCGCGACGACAGACCACGAGGTCGACGACCGTGCCCACTTCTGGCGCCCAAGGGTGAGCAGCTGCGAATCTTGGGAAGCCGCCTGCGCGGGGGGCGGGGCAGACCGACGCAGAGGGCCCGCAGCACGGCACGCCCGGGGCGCGGGCGCTCCCGCGGCCGCCCTGGCGACGCCCGGCCCTCTGGGCGCTCCGGGGCGCCCGCCGGGTCTCCATGCAGCGGGCTCCCTCCCCCAGGCTCCTCCACGTCTTCTCCTCCTCCTCCTCCTCCTCCTCCTCCTCCTCCTCCTCCTCGTCCTCCTCCTCCTCCTCCTCCTCCTCCTCCTCCTCCTCCTCCTCCAGGCTGCCATTTGGGCCCACGCGCGCGGGGGCGCGCGGCGGGCGCATCCATCTGGCCCCAGCCTGCTGCCCGACGGCGGGCGCAGGCGCAGCTGGGGCGGCGAGCGGCCCCTGAGGGCGGGCCCCGCCGCCAGACTGGCATCGCCGCCTTCGCAGGCGCCACGCCAGTGCGCGACAGACACTGCGTGAGGCCGCCGCCAGGCGGCTCCTGCAGGCACACCACGGCAGTGCGCCACCCGAGGAGCCGCAGCAGGTGCAGATGCATGGCGAGGCATGGCCACGCAAAGCGTCCAAGGCCTGCGGTTTCCGCAACAACTACTCGAGCAGGACGACGTGCTGGGCATGCGGCAGGGGCAGGGATGGCAGGCCTTCGACCGCCCCACAGCGAGCGCCAAGCCGCAGCAGGAGACCTCCTCCGCGCGGCGCCGAGGCGCCCTGGCGCGACTGTGATGATCTGGCTCATGCTGCTCCTCAGGCTGCTGGCGACGCAGCGGCACAGCAGTCTCCAGCAGTCAAGTCCAAGCGTGCGTGGCTGGCCTTACGTCGGATCTACGGTGACGAGCACGACCTGGTCATCGCCGCCAAGGCCGCCAATGACAAGGAGGAGTCCGCCCTGCGGGCTCAGATGGACCCCTCCGACCTGCTCAGGAGCGCCAAAGACAGATGGGCTGCAAGGAGTCTGAGCGTGCGGCCAAGGCCGCTCAGTTCGAGCAGATGTCCAACGAGCTCGCCGACGCTCAGCAGCAGCTCACCAGGCTCGAGGCCGAGACGACCAGCCTCAGTGTGGAGGTCGCCCATGCCCAGTCTGCAGTGGCGGCCGTGGCAGCTGACGGGACCCCCGCAATGGTTAACGTCTCCGTGGCCATCCAGCAGCTTCAGGCTGTTCTGGTATCGGCGCGCGCAGGCACGTCGAACATGGACGGCGCCAAGCTCCTCAGCACCATCGAACAGCAGGTCTCCAACATCGGCTCCCTGGCGACAGGAGCCCCACCACCGAGGGCATCGGCTCAGTCGCCTCCGCAGTCAGCCGCTTTTCGCTCCCCAGTTCCAGCTCCACCAGCAGGACCTGGCACCCAGATGGCCGTCGAAGCTGCAGCATGGGAGAACGCGGGCGTCGACAGCTAGGAGGGCCCCACGAGGCTCAAAGCGCAAATATATTGCAGTTGCTACCTTCAACGGTTCTTGTTGGGACACTTGCAGGACATGTTTGGCAGAAGGTACGACAGGGGTCAATATTGTGTGCGCTCAGGAGTTGAGGCTCGACGGGGAGCGTCTGGCGCAGGCGCAATCTTGGGCTCGACGCAACGGCTGGCAGGCCTTCGTCACGCCCTGCCGCAGATTACCTACTGGCATGCCCAGTGCTGGCGCAGGGGTCTTTGTGCGCTCTCACTTACCAGCCACCGTCGTCGAGGGACCCGATGGCAAAGCAACCCATGACATTACACCAGCCTGGGCAGTGGTCATACACGTTGATGTGGGACTTACTGGAGGGTTGCTGGTGGGATCTGTCTACATGGAGAATGCGCACACGACCGCCTACCTCACAGCCAACTACGGGCGCTATTTAAACTTGGCACAGTTTCTCAGATACATGAACAAGCCCTTCATCATTGCGGGGGACTGGAACATCAGCCCCCAGGACTATCAGCAGATGGGCTTGCCTGAAGTACTTCCTGCCGCTCTTCTCTACACCAAGGAGGAGGGCACATGCCGCACCTCGAAGGGTGACTACCACAACATTGACTACTTCATCACGTCCCCTGGCCTCGAGACGGCATGCAGATCGCCTACGACGATGGCGACGTGGCCAGCACGACCTCACAAGCCAGTCATCACCTACATCAAGGCCAAGCCGAAGGTCATGCAGATTCTCAGAATCAGAGCCTCAAGGGCTCTGCCCAAAGGGCCCCCCTGCCACGGAGGGCTGCCATCCTCTACATGGGCCGATCCCCACGCCAGACTACCTGGACATTGTGGACAAGGATGCAGAGAGAGGTCCCCAGCTTCCAAGGAGGAGGCGATCGGCCGCACGGATGCCTTATACGGCCAGTTTATTTCGCATGTCGAGAACGAGCTCATCGGCATCTACCAGGTGGACGATCCAGATTCCTATCGGGGACGTGCAGATGGGGCCCAATACACCTGGCGCCCGATTGGAGGTCCCAAGACTGGTCCACACCCAGCTGGAGGCAGTGAGCCGCGATTTCTCCGCGCGGTGGGTCAGGCGGTCCATGACCTGGTCGCCGACTTCCTCGTCGACTTCGGCGTCACCTCGCTGCAGCAGCTGGCGGATACCCACCCCTGCCCTATCACTACAGGGCAAACCTCTGCAGATGACGGTCTACATCATGATCCTCAGCCTTCACCTTCGTCATCGACGACGGCCGCGGCGAGCTCGGTTCCACAGGTGGATCTGGGCGTTTGGAAGCGCCTGGCCGTCCCTGGCGCTATGGGAAGGCCGCCACCCCCTGGTGACGAGGATCAGGACGACGCCGAGGAGGAGTTCAGGGAGGCAGTTGCAGCTGGTGCCACCCGATGGGTGCCTGACCTGTCGGACGCGGACTCGGGGGGGCGCTCATGGCGAGGATGGTGCATCCCCTACGTGATGGAGTGTTTGCGCCTACCTCAACATACTGCGTGGGTAGCAGCCGCCCTCGCGGACGGCAGTTTCAACTCGATACGCGAGCTCGCCGAGGACATCTGCAACGACGCTTGGGTCCGCTCCTCCGAGAACCGAGCTGCCATCATCTCCTACATGGACTGGCTGGCCATACATGACATACCATTTGGGCGACACATGATCAGCCAGCACTGGGACGAGCTCGAGGAGATCAGGAGTGAGATGAGGAGACTCCTGGGCGACAGGCCGTTGCCCGACCTCCTGCCCTACTACGATGACCAGCAGAGCGCCTACGAGGGACAGCATCACTCTCATAGGAGTCAGGCTTTGCCTTCCTCTGATGTCGCCACGCCCTTTACCAGGAGAGTGCGCCAGAAGGTCTCCCAGGATCCTAGCCCTTCTCAAACGTCTGGTCCTGGCCTGGCCACGACGCCACCACAAGGTCCCACTGGTGGTGTCGAGCTCTTGGGCCCCAGGGGCTCCCAGGGCCCTTTCGGAGGACAGAATAATCCGGCGAAGAACGCGTGCAACATATCGGCCCGCACTGTCTCAACACCACGGCGCCGGGCACGCTGGACTCATCTCGCCAGACTGCTTCGCCCAGGACATAGGCAGGACGTACGCACCGCCGAGGGCATCCAGTATTTCGATGGCGCCTGGGACATCATCCACCTTGCCTGCAAGCAGCCCCCCCCTGCAGTGCCTCTTGTGCCTCCAGGCCTTCGGCAACATCATCATGCAGCACGTCGACCAGCTCGACAGGCAGGAAGGCTGGCATAGAGTTCGCAAGTTCAAGTCCTGGGCACGAGATGCGATGGTCACTGGCCCTGCGCAGGTATACTCGATCACCAGAGTGCAGCCGTGGGCACATGCGCAGATCAAGCAGGGGAAGACCACGACGTCGCACCCGCAGGCGATCGCAGACAATCAAATGGACAGCTGGAGAAAGATTTGGGAGGGGGTGCGCCGTGATGATGCAGACCTTCCCCGATCGCTCGCTGATCATGAAGATCTAGACCTCGTGGCAGCGATTCGCCACCTCCCTCCCGCGGTCCTGCCCGTTCCGACGATTGCACAGACGAGAAGGGCAGCATCAGCATTCAGGTGGCGCACTGGACTGGGAGCTGGCGCACTTCCACCCCGTGCACTCTCCCTGGTATCGGACGATGCCTTAGCCATGTTAATCTACATATACTGGGCTGCTGAAGCTTGGATGCGCTGGCCGACGGTCATGCTCAACGTCCACATCATGCTCCTAGCCAAACCACAAGGAGGGTTTCGCCCAATTGCTCTACTACCAGCGACGTATCGCATCTACACGAAGCTCAGACTTGCTCAAGTTCGGATTTGGATCTCACAGAACACCAGACCTTATTTCGCGTTGGGCGCCCACAAATGTACACTTGACGTGGGAGCGCGCACCATGATTTATGCTGAGGCCTACGCTCGGGATAAGCAAAGGGCCACCACCACGACGCTTGTGGACATCAGCAAGTGCTTCGACCGAGTTTGTTGGCGCCGAGTGCTGCAGGCTGCTGAACACTACAGGTTTCCAACGCAAATCCTGCAGCTGTGTCTGGCGATGTACTACGCTCCGAGAAGAATTAAGTGGACCACTTCCTTCTCCTACTCGTGCCAAGTCAGCAGGGGAGTGCTCCCAGGATGCTCGATAGCCATGTTCTTGCTGCAGCTGGTAATGATGCTGCCTTTTGACGTGTTCGAGAAATCCTTTGCCAACACAGACGAGGTACACCACTCGCTGGACATCTACGCTGATGACATCACGATCCAGGTGGTGACCACGTCGCAGGACATTGTCTACCAGACGGTGCGCATCCTGCAGAGGCTTGCAGCAGTTCTCAAGGCCCTTGATCTTCCTATTGCTCAGGACACGGCGAAAGTGTTGGCATCAGATTTTGTTATTGCACAGCAGGTAACGCAGCAGGTCCATCGGCACGGTTTTCGACCTTACAGAACTCTGGAGGTACTGGGCATGGAGGCTAAAGGCGGGCACAGACTGAGCTTCGAAACGGTTCGCAAGAGGGTGCGCAAGATGAAGAAAATAATCCCGCGCTTCAAGAGGCTCAGTGGTCTTGCCAAGATCGGCCGAGCGGTGGCGCAGCCATGCATTGCCCCCGCCATGCAGTACGGCATCCAGATCGTCGGCGCCACCAAGACGCTGATCAAGTCGATGGTTAGCATGGTTCGAGTGGGTTGGCTGCGCACTCCTCCAGGCACCTCAGTTTGGTTGGCGGCTCAGCTCGAGCCGCGTTTCTTTGAACACCCTGAGATGATGGCGATCGTGGGCCCCCTCTACACGTGGGCCATTCTCGTTCAAGACAGCAAGGTGCCCAACTATGTGCTGGAGAAGGCTTTCCTGCAGCAGCGCCAGATCTTAGGATCTACCCCGAAGCATTCAGAAGTGGCAGGCCCTGCAGGAGCTGTATTGGTGGCACTTCATACTCTCAACTGGCGTGCGACGACGGCGACGACATGGACTACATGCGCAGGGGCAGCCTTGGACCTCACTACGGACAGCCCTGAGTGGCTCAGAGTTCTCGCAAGACGGGACTTTGCCAACGTGAAATTTGAAGATTGGAGTCGCCAGCGAGATCATGCGCCAGAAGACGAACCACCACTCAGGAGACCTTGTGGCTACTGGATGGGACCTCTCAAGATGCTGTTGGCGCCGAAGGAGCTGGCCAAGAAATGGCACTTATCCGAGCAGGCTCGAGCAGCACTACGCATCTCAATCATAGGTGGTCAGTGGTCCCAGGTGCGGCTGCACAAACATGGATATGCTACAGACAACGTATGCCAGTATTGCTTGGACTGCCCTGGAACAGCCCATCACCGTCTATGGTCCTGCCCTTTGCTCCAGCAAGAACGAGAGGCCGCAGTTGACGCTGACATCATCCAGGCGGCTCGGTCCTCACCTCACAACGACCTCTTGTTCACCCGAGGCCTGATGCCGAGGGGCGCCTTGCCTGGCATTCCGCCACCAGCCATGGAGGATGCCTGGAGTTTCGCCCATGGAGGCGACATGACCATGCTGACGGGAGATATCTACACGGATGGATCAGGGCTCTCCCCCATAGCCTGGCCCGAAGCCAACAGGGCTGGCTGGGGAATCGCAATGATGACAGGTCAGGCTCTTCGAGGGATTGCGTACGGACCTCTCCCAGGGCAACAGCAATCAGTTCCGCGTGCTGAACTATACGCTGTCATTCAAGTGCTACGACACGGGATGCTGCCTATGCACATCCGTACGGGCTGCCTGGGCACCGTGGAAGCCCTCTTATGTGGGCCAGAGTGGTGCACGCACCCACGCAGGCCGAATTGTGATTTGTGGAGAATGCTATGGCAGACTATCCAAGATCATGGAGGCTTATCCTCGCAGCTGGAGATCTCTTATGTTCGATCGCACCAGACTCAAGGCGAGGCCACATTTGATAAGAAGGGCAATGACTATGCAGATGTCGCAGCAAAGAGGGGCCTGGCTATGCACGCGTTGCCGTCGGAGGCCATTCAGCTCCACTCGAACATGATCAACATTGTCAGGCAGGTTGCGTGCTGGATTGGGTCCTCTATGACGTTGGTTGGGAACCAGGACCGCCAGCCACCGCCAGCGCGAAAGTCACGCCGACGACTTCAGCGACGCCGTCGGCCTGGACACCACCGCCCAGTACTGACTACGAGCCAGCGCCTGCATGACATCAGGCCCACGCTGGCCAAAGGATGGACATGTAAATACTGTCAGCGCTTCGCGCGGACGGCATCGGGACGAAGGCGCATGGCTCTCGAGGTGTGTACAGCGCACCGCCCCTCGGAACCTCAGGCCCCCGAGCCCCAGTCCAGCCCCGACGAGGTCCCGCGGAGCCCCCCCCTTGGCCCCCGTCAGGCCCCCAAGAGGCCTCTGGGCAGCCAAGACGGCCAACGAGGCGGTCAAGACGAGGACGGCCCTGGGAGGAAGGCGCTGCGCGGTGATCCTCCCTCCTCCCCTGCTTCGTCCTCTGACCTTTCTCCTCCTCCTCTTCCTCCTCCCCGCCCGAGCCCGCGGGTCAGGATTGCGGGTAAGTCTAGGAGGCCTGAGGTCGAGGAGGCGGAGGCTTTCATCCGAGCCCCCCGTAGGGTCAAGCCGAGAGTGCAGTTCGAGCCGCCTGTCCAGACCCGTGTTAGGGATGCCACGCTCGCCCTGGATCCCCCGATTGGCTCGGAGAAGCGCCCTAGACTTGCGGCGGCCACTACGAGGGCCAATGCCGTCCCTCCCAGCACGGTGCCCCCTGCGGAGGGGACGGTCCCCCCTCAGGCCTCTCGAGGCCATGTGCTCTACCGAGCGGGCGACGTGGTTGGATGCATGCGCTGCGGATCCTTTTCTGAGCGTGCCCACCGATCCCAGCTTTATAATGAATGCGAGGGCCCCAAGGCCTTTGAGGGCAACCCTCAGAGGAAATGGAGGCGGAACAATTTCGCGGAGGGGCGGCACCCCAGTGAGGGCCGCAAGCACCCCATCCCCCTCCCTCGGCGCATGTTGGTCTCTGACCCCGCTGTGGAGTGGCTTGGGCTGGCCTCGTGAATTCGGTTCAATTCGTTTTGTTCTTAATATCTCTGTGCGGGGTCTGGTGAATGGATCGGCCCCGTGTCCAGGTCAGCTTCCTGGCCTGTCTCTGCTCCGCAGGCCCGTCGTCGGGCGTGTGCGAGGGGACATGTTTGGGCATGCCCTTTCGTGTTCCCCACTCTGTCTGTGAGAGATTGTGCGTTCTCACCTTTTCCCAATCGTCTGCTCTCTGCCCCGTATCCCGACTCGGCGCGTCCCCTCATGCGCTCGCTACTCCTCCTCCTCCTCCTCCTCCTCCTCCTCCTCCTCCTCGTCCTCCTTCTCCTCCTCCTCCTCCTCCTCCTCCTCCTCCTCCTCCTCCTCCCCCACTGCACGGATCCATGGGGGTAGTTTTCAAAAATGGAGCTCGCGTTCGAGGCCTCCTCGAAGTCCACTCGGGGGCCCCCAAACGGGGTGGTGACCACACCGTGAATTGAGTCGGTGGGGATTTGGGGTCACCGCACGGTTTTTGGACTTGGGTCGTTCTCCGAGGATGCCTCGGGCGATTGGGCCCTCCGGGATCTCAAAGCCGTGTGGTGACGGACCCTGCAGTGTTGTTTTTACGGATTTCGAGGTCACCGCCGGGTCTGACACCACACGGTTTTGGGATCCCCAGCAGACATCTCGCAGAGGAGGGCGCACTGAGACACGCCCACGCTTCAGCTGCTCCGACACGCCCGCGCTGAAACGCCGCACGTGCCGTGTGCAGGGCGTCCGTGTGAGCACGCTGCGTGTCGGCGCCACGTGCCCGCCCACGCTTGGGCGAGCGTGTCGCGCCAGGCCCACGCGTTCGGTCTGCGTGTCGAGCTCCGTGCCGACACGCCACGCGCTGCTCAGGAGGGGAAGAAACACACAGACACAATTAATCGTCGATCCCCAGGAAAATATGGGAAAATATGGGAAGTGGTGGGGAAGACAAAAACTCAGAAAATGTGAGAAAATATGGGGAATAGTTTTATTTGTGTGTATTTATTTGTGTGTTTGTGGGTTCCTTCAGCTGCGTGCGGCGTATCGGGGCAGCCAGGGCCCTCATTTTGCAGAGGAGGGCGCATTGCGACGACCCTCACCGCCCACCTCGAACCACCCCAACCCAACCCGAAGTCCCCGAGTTGCCCTCCACTTCCAGTGGGGTGCGTGGGTCGGGGGACATGGAACAAAAACACATGTGAAACCCGTTTTCCCCCCAACCCGAAAGTCGGGCGAAATTCGGGTCTTCGGGTTTGGTTGGGGTGGTCTGGTAAGTAGTCGGACTCTGAGAACTTGACGTCGCATTTTTTTTCACTACGGGCGTGTGTGCCCGGCTTATTACCCCAGGACCCACGGCTCGACCCGGCTGGAAAAAATGCCGCAGCAAGATGGAGTCTGGAGCTCCGGGCGTGATCTGTCGCGAGGCCGCCATCGTTTGGCAGCCCGGTCTGGGCGTTCGGAGGCCCCCACAGGGCCCCCCTCGTCGCCGCGGCCGGACGCAGCTCGGAGACGTGGTGCGCTTGGTCCCCCGGAAGGGGGCCGGAGGACCGATCCGGAGCTGCTGGGGCCTCCCCCTCGCCCCGCCCACGCGCCTCGCCCGGTCGTGCACCAGGCCAGCTCGATGTGCGCGCGCTGGCACCGCGCGGCGGGATCTGCGTTCGGGGGTGGACAGAAAACCCACCAGTGACACGTCGATTCGTGAATTGTCCGTGTTCGGTTCTCGAGGGGGCGCCGTGGCCGTGATCTTCCAGGCCGCCCGCCAGGTTTGGGCCTCGGGTCGTTTTCACTAAGCCACGTTTTGCGAAAGGGAGGTCTGCGCATCCCCGATGATGCACGTGCCCGCCGCCCCCCCGGGCCAGGCCCCGCCGGGGCCCAGGCAGGCGCACACGCCTCCCCTGCCGAGCCGGGCGCCGCTCCTCGGCCCGGGCCGGGCCTGGCCAGGGACTTCGCAGTCGGGCGCGTCCCCTTGGACAGGAGGAGTCTTCAAGAGTAGCCATTTCTGACCAGGAGGGGGCCGATTTGTTTGTCATGCTTTTTGGCAAGTGTTTGGACATGTGTTGGCTCTGTTTTATTCTTCCTCCAGAGCCCGCCTGTCGGAGGACACGCCCGACCTACGGCCAGGGGCGGCGGACATGTGCCCAGGCATGCAATGGCTCGATGCCGCACGGGGCCCCCTGAAGGCCCGACCCTCTCCCCCAGGGAGGGCTTGGCATCCCGACAGTCCTTCCCTGACGGCCTCGGGGCCTGGCGAGGGCCCCCCTGCAGGCCGAGGACGGTCTGAGACCTCACGCCGTGTCTGTTTTTTTTGCTGCTGCCACGACGCGAGCCACGTCTGGGCACAGATGTCGCCGCCCGATGCCACGCGCCGCGGCCCGCGCGGCAGCGTGCATCCGAGCCGCCCTGGCGCACGCGACCGGGCGCCGACCAGCGCATGCCGGCCGAGGCGCGCGAGACCTCTGGCCGCGCGCCCGGGCCCTCGCGAGGCCCGAGGCCAGAGCCGTTTGCCAGGGCGCCTGCGCCGGTTTGCTGAGCTGTACAGAGCGAGCGCGCGGCGCGGCTTTGCACCTTGTCCTCCTCGTCCTCCTCGTCATTGTCCCCCCCTTCGTCGTCGACCTCCTCCTCCTCCTCCTCCTCCTCCTCCTCCTCCTCCTCCTCCTCCTCCTCCTCCTCCTCCTCCTCCTCTTGGGTTCCTCCTCCTGAGCGTCTGGGCGTCCAGCGACGTCTCTTGAGACTGGTCAAGGCCTCTGGGGACCTCTCCCCCCCATGCTCTTTCTCCCCCTCTTTCTTCTCCTCCCTCTCTTCCTCCTCCTTTTCCCTTCCTCCTTCCCCTCCTCATCTCTACCTTACCTCCTCTACTGCGTGCGCCATAGACCATTCATTCATTCCCAATGTATGAGCGCGCCAGGGGCATTCACTCTACCCAATCAATATGATAGGAGGCTCACGCTCGATGTGGAGCCTAAAACTCATTCTGCTGATGAGAAGCACGACCTGCCTTTAAAGCCGCTTCTCTGGCTAGAACGGCCTCTTCGAGGCCATTTCCATTCAGCCCGAAACGCAGAAGGAGCCTGTCCGTACTGAGCCTCTTGCCCCAAAACGCTGCAGTGGGGACGGTCTCAGCCAACTGCGGCTTTAGCTGACGAGCTCGGGGCGTCAGCACCTGCACTGAGGCCTGAGGAGACGGGGCCTGCCGAGGCCCGATGGTCCATCCCCTGTACTGCTTGGACCCGCACGGGAACTTGAAGTCGAGCGCCCGCTTTTTCCCTATCGACCGAGCGTGACCGTGGTCGGTTGGCCCAAACAGGGCCTGGTCAGGGACAGCACACCCTCCCAGGCATAGCCTCCACTACCCAGGCAGGCCAAGACATGGCTGCTTTGGGGGGGGCGCTGGGGGAAGCCCCGACGTCAAAAAGACGGAGGCCTGCCGCAGGGCGTGGCCTTGCAGGGCCATGAAAGATGCGAGATCTGCCGAGACCTCTGGATCCAGGGGCCTGCTGGGCGGCCGCTGTCGGCCTGCACGCGGCCTCCTGCTCCTGCCTGGCCGTCGCCCACCCCCACCTCCCCACCCGAAGCCTCTCGCCCACGAGGAGGAGGAAGAGGGAGAGAGTCGACATCCTCAGCTTCGGCCATGAGGGCTTCTTGGGTGGCCGCCCACTGGGCCACCGACTTGACCAACTCGCCAAGGGCGTCCAATTGGGCCTTAGAGGGGCCTGTGTCAGGGTGCAGCGCGGCCCCAAGGCCAGCAGAGTGGTCCGCAGCCCGATTTCCAGCCCAGTGAAGCTCGGAGATGCTTTCTGACACCGCACCGAAAAAAAGGTGGGCCTCAACCTTGACCGCCTCCCACCCAGGGAGGGTCCGATGGAATTCTTCCCAGAGGTGGCACCTGGGATTCGCCACCGATCATGAGCTCAAAGGGTCATTGATGCAACCGATGGTGCCTTGACAATCTACATAGAACGTCGCCTGGCCCTGGCCTCGAGCTGCCATGAGAATGGCCACGTCTTCGCCATCCCTAGCAGACTGGAAGGGCCCTAGATGCCACGGAGCAGCCTCCCAGGCGGCCCCCGCCAGCTGCCCATCTTTTGTGATCTGGACAGGGCTCCACCCCGCTCTGCGTGCCAGGAGGCACTTGGGGAAGAGAGCCGAACCGTCTGAAAGCATCTTGCCCGAGAGGAGCCCACAGACTGGGCGGAGATGCCAGACCAGCTGCACTCCAGCTTCCCAGAAAGGGGCCGAGGCACGAGCTCCAACGGGAACGGGAGCAGCCCGCATGCGGCTCTCTCCGGGCCCTGCCCGGTGCGCTGCGTGCAGCTGCAGCCGCCTTCAAAACATCTGGGGAGAGGCAGGCCGCTCTCTCTCTCTCTCTCTCGCCTTGCCAGTGCTCATATCGGAACTTGCGGTGCCACAGAGCGTCAGAAGATTTATAGCATCCTCCTCCTCCTTCTCCTCCTCCTCCCTCTCCTCCTCCTCCTCCTCCTCCTTCTCCTCCTCCTCTTCCTCCTCCTCTTCCTCCTCATCATCATCATCTTCCTCTTCTTCCTCCTCCCTCTCCACCTCCTCCTCCTCCTCGTCTTCCTCCTCTTCTTCCTTATCCTCCTCCTCCTCCTGCTCCTCCTCATCCCTCTCCTCCTCCTCCTCCTCCTCCTCCTCCGCCTCATCCGCCCCTCCCTCTCCTCCTCCTCTCCTCCTCCCGCCTCCTCCTCCTCCTCCTCCTCCTCCGCCTCCTCCCTCTCCTCCTCCTCCTTCCCCTCCTCCTCCTCGCCACTGCTGCTGGCTAATGAGCGACCTGAGGCTTTCCTTGTGGCGCTCAGTCCACGATTCGCGGACCGCTTTGTCCAGGAGCTGGCCCAGCGGCCACCAGAAGATGGGTCGAACCCACCTGGGCTCACCGTCCATGCGGCCCAGGGCCATCACATCTGACAAACTACGCGCAGCCCGAGTCGCCATCCACTGGACCTGCTTAGGTCCAGTCTTGCGAAGGTCAACGGTCTCGCCAGTGTCAATCTGAAGCATTGCCGAGACATGGGCGGGGCTAGAGGCAACTGACCAGACCGATCTCACGCTACTCAAATCCTCGGCCGCAGCGACCAGGGTGCTCTGGAGAACATGGAGGGGGGGTCTGCCTACCCAGACAGCTCGGGCCCAGTGGCCAATCCCCTGGCTGTGATACTGCATCTGGGGATCCATGCTCCTACCCATCTTAGTCGTGCTGATCTTAAGGCCAATCGAGGTGCAGGTCTTGCTCTTGTGACTGCTATTTGCAGCGGCCCTTCTCAGGCCGTGAAGCTGTCTACCAGAAAGCCCGCTCACGCAGGCCCCCCAGGGGGCCGTCTCTTGGGGTCCCGCCCGCTGGATGCCTTGAACCTTGGCGCCCGCATGCTTAAGTTTCAGCAACGTCCAGGATCGTCGAATGCCTTTCTTAAGACGTTTACTGGCAGTCGTGGTAAGTCTACGCCTGTTCGAGTGGGTGTCGATTCCCAGCGACTTGGTGACACATATTTCCTAGAGAAGAGCTGATGCTTCCACATGTCAGACAGATTCTTAGCAAGCTCAAGACTGGATGCGATGAAGTGTTTCTTTATTGTCGGCGAGCAACAACTCCAACTTCTTGTAGCCTGAGGCCAAGAGCCATCCTGCTCCTCCTAATTTCTGGGTCACAAAACGGACCGTGCCCACACATTGAGCATGGACGTCATCCACTACATCACGCGTGATCACAGGTGGGAATTGCCGAGAGAGGGAGACCAGGAAGTTGTACAGGATCACCTTAGCCATAGCGGCAGCTAGTGAGCATCCTGCTAGCACCGTACCGTGTACTACTACTGCAGTATAGATAGCGCTCTGGAACGTTAGTGTGCGAGGTCCCGAGTAGAGCTTGCCTGCCAGGAAGATTAGCTTCAGCGGGAAGCCATTACTTTTACCTTGCTCGTGCAAGTGATAGTGCGGAATTCTCGTAGAATTTCGAGAGGTCCGAGAAGAGCGTGCCACTGCCATAGTGTGCGACTTGTGCGAAATGGTTATACATGCTGTGCTCCCGCCCTGCCCTGCCGCACTCCGTTGTACGCGTGCCCCAGAATTCCCCAACCTGCTGGTCCAGCTCCCATTGCTTAGCCAGATCTTGGCGTAAACGAGCCCAGACGCGGAACATGGAAATGATGAGGGCGATAGGTCGAAGATCTTCGGATCCCAGTGAATGCTATCATGATGGGCCATTTCTCTGGAAGGTCGGGGGTCTTCTCCCAGATCAAGATTACATCCAAAAACCTACGCCGAGCATCGTCATCCAGGAGGAGCCAGGACCTCGGGTTGACCCCATCAATACCCAGGCCTACAGTATGTCGGAACTTACGTAGAACACCATCAGGATGCTCGAGAGATGGTCGAGGGAGGTGTCCAACTCGTGCTTCCAGCTCTTGAAGGGCTGAGAGCTTGGATTTTGCATCCTGCCAGTGCTCGTTCCATTCGGTAGCGAGGTGGTCTACCGCGTCATCACCTAACTAAGGCAAACCTGCAGAATCCGTGGGTGGCGTAAGCTGCTTCTTGTCCTTGACATAACGATGGGCCGCTTTTCCCCCTCCCTGGACCGACTCCTGGGCCCGCTTGAGCCAATGTTTCCAGCCTCCACTTCCTCTTCCTCCTCCTCCGCCTCCGCTTCCGCCTCCGCATCCGCATCCGTCTCCTCGTCGTCTTCCTCCTCCTCCTCCTCCTCCTCGTCCTTATCCTCCTCATCCCCCTCCGTTGTCTCTTCTTTATCCGATTCCTCTCGTACTCCTCTTTCTCCGCCTTCTCCACTCCGTTATCCCCTCTTACTTCCTCCTCCTCCTCCTCCACCAGTTTTGCTCGTCTTTGTTCCCAGGGGGCCAGCTCGAAGTTTGGCCTGCCAGCTCCCTGAGGCCGCAGAGGTTGTAGCGTAACAGGCTCCCGTGGCCCCCCCGTGGCTCGCCAGGCGACCCCAGATACGATTCGACTGGCCGCACTGCGTCGAAGAAGAAACGGCAGGATAAACACAACTTTCGGAGTTCCGCACGGGTTTCTCCTGGGTCGGCGTTGGGCCTCCTGGCGGCGCCTCGGGCAACGCCCCTGGCGAACTCCACGCGCCGGGGAGGGAGGTCCAGCGCCTATCCAAGAAATCCGTACGGCCCTCCGAAAGTTCATGTTTAAAGCAGCTTTTTGTTCTTCCAATGCCGGGGGGGGAGGAGCGCGAATTTTATGGAATTCGGCTCGGCTGCCGGGTCTTCTCGGCCGCGCCGGGGCGAAGGCTCGTCCGACGCCCCCCGCTGCGAGATGCGCCGGGGTGGCTGGCCTCGTGCAGGGCTCCGAGCAGCCTGTGGGGCTGGTGCTTCGATATGGTTGGATATAAGAGTCCTCAGGCTCCCCACCCGAATGCAGGGCGGGCGGGAGGTGGAAGAGGAGGAAGAGGAGAAGGAGGACGAGGAAAGGGGGGGGAAGAGGAGGAGGACGAGGAAGATAAGAGGAGGAGGGGGAGGAGGAGCAGGAGGAGGATGATAGGGGAAGAGGAGGAGGAGGTTGTGGAGGAGGAGTGAGGAGGAGGAGGAGGAGGAGGAGGAGGGAGGAGGAGGAGAGGAGGAGGAGGAGAGGAGGAGGAAGGGAGGAGAAGCGCAGGAGGAGGAGGAGCAGGAGAGGAGGAGGAGGAGGAGGAGGAGGAGGACGAGGCGGAGGAAGGACAAAGAGTAAGGATGAAGCCCTCTCATCCGCATCCCCCCCCTCCCTCCCTGCCTCCATCCCTCCCCTCCGCCTCCTCCTCATCATGCCCTCCTCTCCTCCTCCCCTCCTCCTCCTCTTCCTCCTTCTCCTCCTCCTCCCCCTCCTCCTCCTCCCCCCTCCTCGACTCTCCGCCCCTGCTCCTCCTCCCCCCGGCATCCCTGGAAACCTTTGGAGACCTCCAGGGACCTCCGCGGATCTCCGGGACCTCTGGACCCCCCGTAGGCTTCCTTCTCTCTCCTCTTTCCCCTCGCCCCGACGTTCTCGCGATGGGGTGTGGGCATGGGTGTGGACACGGTGTGGACGCGGGTTAGGGCTCCACATTTATGGGGCTACAAACGTAGGGACCCACGCATCAGTTTACGCATAGGTTTCTCCCATGGGGTTCCACAGACATCGGACTCCACGCAGAGGGATCCACACACAGGGTACCGCACACACGCACACTCACACACACACACACACACATATTTTTGTTTTCGTCAGCGGCGAGGCGGCGAACTCCGCTCCAGCGAGAAGCTAGATAGGGGCACAAACTAGCGAATTGGCCAGCGAGCAAGGAAGGGGGGGACGGCCGAGAGGAAGAAGGGGCGCTCAGACGCCGAAGAGTTCGACGATGAGCGGCCTGGGGGGCAGCAGCCAGGCGCGCAGGGCCAGAGCGCGGTGGGCGGCCGTGGCGAACCGACACGCACACACGCACGCACGCACGCACGCACGCACACACACACACACGCACGCACGCACGCACGCACGCACACACACGCACGCACGCACGCACGCACACACACACACACACACACGCACGCACACACACGCACACACTCTTTTGGCGTCGCGGCCCGTCGCGCAGCGACAGGGCGGAGAGAAGCATCAGAGAAGCGGGCGCGCACGCGCGCCTAGAGCGGCCGAGCCCTCAAGTCACGCGCACACACACATGTGAGCCAGGAGGGAAAAAGCACACAGACACAATGAAGCGTCGATCCGCAGGAAAATGCAGGAACATGTGGGAAATGGGGGGGAAGACGAATATCAAAAACATGTGGTAACATACGGGTGATCTGGGGGCTTGTGTGTAGTTATTTAATTGTGTGTCCCTGGGCCACTTCGATGAAGCGTTCCAGAAGGGGCCTTCGCCTTCGCCACGTGTCGCCCATGGCGACAACCGGCGGAAGGCTGGCGGTAGCCAGGGGAAGGGAGACGCTGGCGAGTGAGTGCGTCAGGGGAAGCTGGTTGAAGGCCAGCGGAAGGAGGCGAAAGCAGAAGTGAGACGTCAACATGTGCATGATCGGAGCTTATGAAGGCCACACCTGATTCCACGCACACACGCATATACACACAGCTTTGGCTTGCGTGCCACCTTCCGAGGGTGCCCCACACATCGGGCTCGACACGCATAGCCTCACACACAGGCAGACAGACAGTCAGACAGACAGAGACAGACAGACAGAGGACCGGCCAGACAGACAGACAGACCGACCGCCCGACCGACAGACAGACAGATAGACAGATAGACAGATGCACACATACACGCACACACACACACACACGCACACATACGCACCAGGTTCCACGATTGTTAAATGAATGAATGGTTTGACGTTCGCGCGCTGGCAACATTCTACAGCTTCTGGCAGGACGCATCTCCCTGTGCAACTGGTGTCCATGAAGCATCAAACCTCGTCCCCCGTCCCCCATCGAGTGGACCTTTCGAGCGTGCCCCCAGTGCGGTGTTCAGTGTGGTGTTCCGACGGCGCATCCCCTGCCGTGCGCAGGAGACGCGTTCGAATATGACCGATTTCGACCGGTTCAAGTTGATGGTGGCCAAGAAGAAGCGATCTGCTGTGGCAAGCAGGGGGCCACACCCTTCTCATCTGTACCCTCTGGTTTCGTGGGTCCATTACTTCCCTTTGTTATTGGCGTGTGTGGGAGTGTCCGTATTTGCGGCTGTGTGTGCGTGTGTGTTGATGTTTGTGTCTGTTTTATGTGATCGTGCATGTTTCTGTTGGTTCGTGTCCTTGCGTATGATGCCTGTGAGCGGGTTTCACAGGCCTGCCCATTGTACGTCCTTCTCTCCCTCCGTCAGTCCCCGCTCTCCCTTGGCTCTCTTGTTTTCTCTCCCCCGCCGTCCCCCTGCCCTCCCTCCACTTCACCCCCCTTCCAGCCACACACGGGGACAGACGGTTGGGTAGACACAGAGATGGTGAGACAGATACGTGGGCTGCGGCAGCGACACTGGCAGAGGCAGGTGCAACAGAGAGAAAGAGAGAGAGAGAGAGAGAGAGGTAGAGGCCTGCTTGTGGCCTGCCGGAGTTCCTGTGGCAGTCTTGGTGGATTCGGGTGCTCTCCGGGGGTTCTGGGGGCAGTCTTTTGGAAGACATCGGGGGCCGTCTTCGGGCGCTATTGGTCCGTACTTGGGAGTCTTGGGCTTTCTACTCATTTGTTTGGGGCCCTCGAGACGGCCTCGTGGTCCATCGAGAAGCCACCTGTAAGTGACCCCCATCCTCACCCGACCAAGAGCTGCGGAAAGCCAGTCCCCAGGAGGTGTCCATCCTGGAGTGTTTTCCCGAGCTGTGTCCAGCCTTGCCGACGAGGGGCCCACTCGGCCAGACCCTCAAGAGGAGGAGCACGACCCACATCTGAGTCAGGTGCGACCTGATTCAACGGTGTGAAGAGGCAGGAAGCCTTGCCAGGCAGCTACAGTAACGGACAGAAGACGAGAGCGACCGATGGGGAGGGAGGAGGAGCAGGGAGGGGGAACAGGAGGCAGAGGAGGACAAGCAGGAGGAGGGGCAGGAGGGGCGGACGGGGTGGAAGCTTGCCCTCCTCTCTGGCGGGGTGGAAGCCTGCGTTTTGCCCTGGGCGGACGTTACTGGTTATGCGTGCAGCGTCCTCGCTGAATAAAGGTGTCGCGATCCGGCTTAAAACTTTTTGCGTCGCAGCGCGGCAGAGGCGATCCGTTCGCGCGCTCCAGTAGGCCAGGGCGCATGGCCAATTAAACCAGCAGCAAGAGGGGGAAGGAGGACAGGGGCGGCCGCAGAAAGCCTGCGGGGAGAGGGGGCTCTCCCGGCGGAAAGAGTTTCAGCAGGAGTGGTCCGACTCAGAACAGACGGCAGCAAAAGAAGGCTGCGGGTCAGTGCAGAAATGCGTGGGGCAATTGAGCGACGCAACAAAACGGGTCGTCTGCGCCGACAGTCGTGGATAAGTTGCCCGCGTAAGCTCGCGCGCAAGCGCCCTCATCTCCAATGTGGCGGCGTGCCGCGACGGCGGCCCGCGTAAGCCCCCGCGCGAGGTCGCTGCGCCATCTCGCGGAAGACCCCATTCTCGATCGCCGCGGAGCTGGCGAGGGCAGAAGTGCCCCTGAGGGCGCAGCGCAGCCCAGCGAGCAGCCGGCGAGGGAGAGGAGTGGACGGGGAGCCCGCCCGCGGCCGCTCCTCTGCATGGCCGCGAGCTGGCCCCGACGCCGCGCTCGGGCCCTCGGAGGGGCCCCGCCGCACACGGAGGTCGGAGCCTCCCCGGGGAGCGCACGGAGCCCGAGCTGCGGCGGCGAGCCGCGCGCGGCGGCAGCGGCAAGTCGCACTCCACGTCGCACGGGGCACGGCGCGCCCCCGGGGGCCCGAAGGTCCGCGGCCGGGGCGCCGGCGCCTCCGTGTGCAGCTCCGTCGGCCTCCGGCCGCAGCGCTGTAGGTCCGCGGCAGCCCCGGAGGCCGCGGGCGGGGGCTCCGGAGGGGGCTCCACCACGAGAGGCTCTCTGGAGGGGCTTCTGCTGCAGCAGGGGCAGAGGCCGTGCGGGGGTCACTCGGATGGCCCCGCTGCCCTGAAGGCGTCCTGACGTAAGCGGATTTCAGGGGGCGCGCAGCAGCGCTCGGGGCACACCTGCGCCCACCTCGCACCCTGAGATGCCCAAGAAACGCCTCCGTACGCGCAGTGGCCCCACAGGCGCGGCACCTGTAGATCCCCAGACGTTCGCACCACCACAACTCATGAACGTCGGCCTGGTGAAGTAGCACAGGATGTCTAAGTTCAGGGGGCTTCGGCTGAGGGAACTTGTCACGCCCACACCTTTGAGTCACAACGACCTGCTGGATCCCCCAGGCGATGCAGCCCAGCACCTTCATGTGCTCGGCAAGCGCGACACGTATGCTATCGCTGACCGTCTCGGCCACCATCTGTGGGGCTGCTCCACACTTGGCCGAGCCAACCTTCGATGGAGCCATCGGCCTCCGCCACTGCGTCGATGTCACGGTGTGCTGGCGTCCACTGAAAAGCCACAGGAGGAAGGGCGGGCGAACGGGCATTGTCAGCGGCGAAAATATCCCTCCAAATTCTAACGTGCTTGGCTCGACCGTGCTGCAATGAGCCTTTCTAATTCTAACCCTCCTGGACAAGTGAGCTCCAGTCGGCCACAAACAACTCGTGATCAGGCTGATCTCTGAGGTTCGTTACGATGCGGCCGACCGTCAGGATGAGGAGAACGAGGAAGAAGAAATAGAAGAACGACTCCGAGGAAGACAGGTGACGTCACCACACGAATTACTTAAAGCTTAGATCAAGGCAAGGTGGGCAGCCCTTGCCTGACCTCCTTCGCCCTGACTGAGGGCCTGCATCCTCGTCGGCGTAGCTCGGCGCCTCGGACGCTGG